TGGTCACTCACTCAAAATTTTCCATCACGAGTTCCTCCGTGATTCGGAAGGACGTTAAGCCGTTGGTCCCGACTGCATCTGTAGTCGTTAGCACCCTCCAATATACACTGGGCCCGCGTGGTGGGTTATGGCCCAATCTCCGTATTTCATCCACAGGGAAGGCCTGAGACCCAGCAGTGGGAACATTAATATACTGATGATGATGATGAGGACGACGATCAACATTCTAGCTTGCCTTCCTCATAATATAAATAAAGTACAAAAGTAGGTATAAATTTTTGAAACCACAAAGATAATCGTCACGATTTTCGTAAAACATTTCCCCGATACAACTTAACGCAACCGCATTCAACTGTTACCATTTTTATGTAAGTATGTGCGCACCGGCCGCCGAAAAAAGGCCCTTGCCGCCGCACCGCTTCTGCTCCCATTTCGACCTGTCTATCCCGCGGACGTCTCAATAAATCTGCTCCATCTTTGGTTGTAATGGTACGATTTTTCGGACGACTGCTCATGGTACAATCTCAATTAGTACGATATATTTCCTCGTTAAAATCGTCCGTGTAAACTGGACTTTCATGCGTACAGTCGTGACGTGAAGTGTTTTTGACGATTTATGTTGAAAATTGTCATTGCAATATTGTATTTTTAGATTTCGTGTTGGATCTAAACCGTGTCTAGGATTTTCATAGTAATTTTTACTTCCAATTTATTAGGAACAATGAAATTGGTTAAGTTCAGATGGTCGCGCCACTTGCGTGCACCTACGACAAACAGCATACACAATTAAAAAAAAAATAGATTGCCGTGTGTTTTCGCTTGTCATAACGATCATCATCATCATCATCTGAGGCCCAAGTACGAATTTTGTCAGCTCCATAATCGTGCCCTTTACGTCAAATTTGTGTATGGAAGAAAGTAGTTCGTTCGTACTTCCAATAGGGGCGCTGTTTAGTTTACATTGTAACTTTGGCGATAGGCCTCTAACCTTCTCTGACACGCGCTCATTCACGTCATCGCGCGACCATCTAAACTTAGCCTTAATCGGGAAGAAAATGACTTGTTAATATTTGAAGCGGTTAGTTTGGTGGTTTTCAATTAGAAACTAAACAATAATTTAATTACATTTAATGTTGAGTTTAAGCCACCACGGTGTGGACGGTTGGAGCGGCATACTTTTCAGGTTTCTTTGCGACTGTTCTGTTCTTAAACTTTATATAGATATTACGCACGATGTAACGACTCAATCTGGAATGTTACAATTTTTTTCAGTCAAAAGTGTGGCAAACAAGCGTATGACCCGCCTGATAGTAATCGGCCACCATAGCCTATAGACGTTTGCGATATAAAAAATGTGACTCGCCCAGTTGACTACCCTGACCCAATCCCCTACCCCGTGGAGCCCTGGACCCTACTCACCGACAAAAACACAACACTACAAGGTAGTGTCATTTTACTGTGGTCCTCTCTGACGTGGAGGTTACCTCCCCAGACTGGTGTAACGTCCGTTACGTTATAGCCTCCTTGTTTGGGTAAACTCTTTGTTCATGTAATGCCTACGACTGGCAGTTATATTAAAATGGTAATGTCATGATTTTTAAAGTTTTGAAATTGGGAATCTTCTGTCGTTTCATAGAAGGTTCTAGCAGATAGAATTCAGGCACCAAACCATACGTTGATAGATTAAGCTCAATTATTATATTCGCCTGATTTCAAATAAAATAACCTATAAAATCTAATTAGTTTTCTCTTATAAAATTACGCTCCCAGGGCGATCTACCCTGAAGGGGTAGCCCTTCAGGGTAGATCGCCGCACTGGTGCTCCAATTCAAGCAGCAAATCCGCTATGCCCTACCTTTCTTAACATACCATAAATTATATATTTTTCACTGGTCAAGTAGTTGAGAATGTCGAAAATCCTTTTCACCGCAAATGTACGCTTCTCAATAATGCAAAGCTTCCATTATTCCGCTAACGAGAGACATTTCTTTTCGGTCGCGTAAACACTTCACTGTATCGGGCAGCAGCGGCCATCTTGAAAAAAAATAATGATTTGTTACTTTTCACTGCGACATTACTCCAATTAAATCGAGTGACAAAAATCTTGTTGAATATCGTCCGTCGTTTTGACGAGCACAGTTTGAACCTTGTTGTTGGGAGGCTAAAGGTGACAGTTGAGCGACAGTTGACGTACAGCCAGTGTCAGAATCAGAACGCTTGATAATGAGATCAATTAAAACTGTTAAGGTTTTATTGGACCAGAGCCTTATTAGTGCAAGTAGGTTGTTCTTAAAGTTCACTTCTCAGTACAATTTTATTGTTTTCGGATTATAATTATTTTTAATAGCCCGCTATTTTTGGCGTCCTCGGTATCTTGTGTGAGTTGTTTTAGTACTTCAGAATGCTCATTCATCATTAACCTTTTAATGTAAGCACTGCTGGGACACAGGAGTTCCCTATGAATGCAATAAGCCGAACGCTCAATTACTACGTAGCGCGGATTAGGTAGTGGCTGCACTTAGGAATTCAAGGTAGTAAATCTGGTCACCCACCTTCTGACTGGCCATTCCGTAATTGCTTATCGTAAACGATCGTATACAAAACGTGCTAATACTACAGAACGCTATCGAGCTCCTTATAATTATCATTGCTCATTTACTCAAATCTATAAGTTGCATTAAAATTGATTGAATAAAATGACCACGTTCTGGTGGAGGTTGAATGTCTGTCTTACGTTAACGATTGAACAATACTCAAAACTGAAAAAGAAATATATAGATACCTATATCCATTCAAGTAGAGGATACATAGAGGAGCTCGATGGCGCAGGTGGTTAGCGCGTTTCGCTGCGATCGTTGAAGCTAAGCAACTTTCGCTGTGGTCGATCATTGGATGGGTGACCAAAAATCTTCTATCTGGAGTTCCTCCGTGCTTCGGAAGGCACATTAAGCCGGCTGCATCTGCAGTCGTTAGCACCCGCCAATCCGCACTGGGCCCGTGTGGTGGGTCATGGCCCAATCTCCCTATTCCATCCATAGGGAATGCTTGTGCCCCAGCAGTGGGGACATTATGGTCCGTATTACAGAATGACAACTAAGTGTTGATCTTTACTTGAGTACAGTTAGAAAGGGATATCGCTATGTGCTATATATAGCGACATCCCTTTCTAACTATGCTCAAGACTAGATCAATCACTGAGAATCTTTCTATAATACGGACCTAAAAAGCCTTTTAAAAGACAATATCTAAGAAGGCATAATCTTGAATAGATCGTCATCATCGGCTGATGATGATGATCCATTCAAGACCTATTGAAATATGTATAATTTCTGGAGCTGAGGACTATTGTAACTATATTTCTTATTTTTTTGTTTTATGGGTTTGCTGTGATCACTGTCTAGCCCGAGAACAGTGATAGGATCTACGATGTAGCAATCTCTCAATCTAGAGAGTAAATAATCAAATATATTGTGATTTCGGTTTATTGTCACTGATCAACTGGCATTCGATTTACTGGCATTCGATATGGCGTAGAAATCCCAACATAAGGTGACATTACTTGTAGCGAGCTCGCCCAGAAGAAGCCTATTTGCTTTAATGATCTCTTTTAAATCTCTATAAATGTAAAACAGTATTATATTTATAGACCTTTTTACTAAAGAAAATATAACTAGGAAAAATTCCACGCGGACCAGTCAGCAGACGGGACGCGTCGAAATTCTTCTAGCCATTCTTAAGCTGCAAGGCAGCACCATCTCTTCGCATTATAGGTATCCCACAATGTCAAATGAATACTTTTACTATTATAGTTATAATTTTTACTTTTTAAAACATGTAACTACTTGATGTTTAAATCTAAAGGAAATATAACCGGATTGCGAAGGGTGCGGGTTCGAGTCCCGTCTGAGGCCTGGTCCGCGTGGAATTTTTTCTAGTTATATTTTCTTAAGATTTAAACATCAAGCAGTTACATGCTTTAAAAAATAAAAATTATGACCTTTTTACTCTTCCATATTTACAAATGAAAAATCAAAATTGTGTTGCCAAATCGAATAGTGAAGATTTTGAGTTTTGAGTCTAAATCGTAATTTAACAGAACGTGATTTTGTTACGTCATGTAATGATGTCAAATGCCCACTTGAAATCCTAACACGAGTCAACATACTCATCGATTTTGAATTGACACATTCAACGAATTTCAATACAATTAAATCACACGACATGCTTCTTTTACATAACTGTACTTAGCCCATCGTTTAAGCTTACACGCTCAGTTCGAGAGCTCCGCGATAATTCGTAATCATTATTCGATTTGACACGATCATAACCACACAATCGGTATGTCCTCGTCAAACAGCTACTAGACTTTCAAAACGGTAGTTCACGGTAGCATTTAAACTGAATTATGCAATAGACTTTGAACTCTATTATACATCACAATATTATGTCACTCGCTTTCATTTCAATACTTGAAGCAAGTTTGATCTTATCCTGAACGTGTTTACGTTCAGAGTCGGGTAACAGTATTCATATATGTTAAGTGGACCAGTGCTGAGCGCATCTATCATACGGAAAAATTAAACACAATCTTGAGAAATGTTTGATCTAAAAATGAATATGTATTAATGTTCAAATGCGCGCTCAAAGCAAACGAGTCGCCTTCTCTTGTTATTTGAATAAACCTATTTGTAGTCTTGTTATTACGTGCATGCAGTTTGACGGCATGAACAAATATTATATTAAAAAATAGTGGTCCATATTTCTTTGGAACGTACGTTTAGTGTGCTCAAGAATTTATTATGGCAATTCAGTATTCAAGTGTACTCGTTGTATTGTAGCATACGTATTTTAAGGTATTTCTCTATGTACACATATTTTATCGTGAAACGAAAACTAATTTCGCTTGTCATAATAAAAATTGTTTTTAGTTACCTATTTACTATCAGAATCAAATATTTACCTAATTCACATCATGTAGATAAATAAAACGACTTTTCTATGTAAAGGCACTCGCGTTTATTTTTCTTTTCAAATATATTAAGATTTATATAAAAATGTAAAAAAACACATATACATATGCATAAAAATATCGTATCACACCAATAACAATAGTTGCTAATTGACAAAAGTCAGTTCTCATGTTTTAAACAAAAAAAAATCATTAGCTAACTGGAAAAAATATTGGCACCGTTTATCATTAAAAAAATTATTACAAAGTACAATATTAGGTCTATCATAAAATAACAGTTTTAATGTATCATTATGTTATTTACAGAAACGGCAAACTTTTGGTCCGCTTTTAAAAATGTCAAAGGTGAACCCAATTGGAACTGATTAACATACTGTGGGGATGTGTAAGAAGATTACTGCATCTTCGAAATGATACATAAGCAGATACAGTATAAAACATCTGATTTGTTTAATAAGAAACCACATTGATAACCCCCTTTTGAAAATCGCTATTAAGTTGTCTCTAATTGAAATAAAATAAAACCTTTTTTTAAAGCATTGATCTACAATAGGTATCTGTGCTTCAGTGGAATCGAAAAATTTGGTAATCAGCGAATTTCTAATTTTAGTATCAACAGTTTAAATAGAAGAGATTTCTAACATTTTCGAGACCGAATTACAACAGTATTCAAATTGAAGATGAGAAGAGACAGACCACCAACTTCTTCAAGTAAGCATCTAACGTATCTATCAGTATTCTGGTCATTGCTAAATCATATTCCGAGAAACATTACTCAAAACTGTCCGGCACTCGGAGATTTCGTCTGATGATTAGATTATTACGTGCAAAATTGTGATCTCATTTCACGTAGAAGACATTTTTCTATAATAAAATTAATTTAATAAAATCAAATGTAAAGAATAACTTCAATTTGGGTGATACCAACACATTAAGTTGAAATAGTGTTGGTGCTATATATTCCACTTTGTTTACTCATGTCAACATTTTGAATTCTACAAACGTAAAAACTGCAATTGTACTAGGTGATGAGCACGTCTACAAGAAATCTAATTTTGTCTTGTCGATTAAATAAAGCCCTAAAGACTGTGCTACAGAAAATGTTGTATCAAAAATATATTTTATAAAAACCAATAAAGAGATCGTCAACGACCTGCTCAAAAATACACGTTTACCCCTTTTGGAAGATTTAGGTTACATTTATACATCGATTACAAATTACATTCCTTATAAATGTTCTTATTACAAATCAAGACCATGACATGACAAGCCAATTTCATTGCATAATATAGCAGACCACAGTATTGTCTTTTGAAAATTTTAATGAACACGTTACCAAATTGCTACTTAATTAAAACTCAAACTAATGGCACCTTATATTTTATTAGGAAATAAACTTGTAATGTTAAGTACATACAATCAGAATAAGTCTCCAGAAAAAGAAAAAAAAATAGTTTTTAAAAATAACTAAATTGTTTGGTACCTTATTATGCCACTTGTAAATGTCAACGTGTAATTGGATACCTACACGTTTTGTGATGACACTTTAAACATACAAATCTAATTAATGGAATGAGCATCATTTCATAAAGGAATGTCTTAAATTATTTTAAAATCTCTAAAACAACCAACAATATAGTAACACGCAAGCTTACATTAAACGCTAAATATTAAATATTAATATAACGAGAACTATTCATGTAGGTACTTAAAACATTATTTAATTAAATAAAAAATAAAGTGACTCAAAACGAAACTGGCCTAAATTCTAATGAAATAAATACTTAGAAATGAATACGTACAGAGCATAATGTTACCTAACAATATAATACAATGTTTCGCCTAAAAATATTTTGTACATTACAATTTTGAGCGTCATAATTCACTGGCCACAAATCCCATTTATATTAACTAAAAACTGGTAAAACAAAACACTGGCATGATTCTACAACTGGCGTTTTCATTTAACACTAAAGAGTTTCTCATTTTTCGTTGCGCATCAATTTTATATCTAACAACAATAATTTCACTTACCTATTTTACAAACAATTGACTCTTCATTATTCTACTATACAAAGGAAAACAACTAAATTTATGGTAGTCACATCAGGTAATCAAGAAAGAAGGAATGAACTCATTACTTAAATACTGTATGGCAGAGTATTCATCTCGTCTTTCGTTAATAAAATTACAATATTTACATATAAATAGAACGAGACACATGGCTTAATTGACTCACGGTATGCTTCATGTATTAACATTAAAGTTCAACCAGTCATTGGCACTTCTTCCGATCGTTTGGGGACCAGAGATAAGTCTAGGGGATTTTTCATTATGTCTTTTCCGTTGTCCTCGTTTAGGTCAATACTGAGTTCAGGCTCTGAATCGCTCACTTCCTCGTTTTTTGGACTCCTGAACAAAACAGCAGTTGATTTTATCGATAGATCTATTGGTTGGTCTTGCTCTATTGCGATTCCAGCAACTGCTGGGGAATGTAAAAGCAAATCACCGCCATTGCGATTCTGCCAAGTGGTTAGACCTGGCGGCACGTGTCTAATATTCTGTATAGAAGTTGGCATATAAGGAGTGGTTCTCGGTGAATAACTCGGCGTTGCTGTCATCGGACCGAAAGGCGATGGTGGTAGGGTAGAAGGCTTTCGTTTCCGCACATCCTTAGTTTGATTCCTAATCGCATGTAATCTAACGTCCTTTTCACTGCACGGAGACGATGTTGGTCTGAAGATGCTCAAGCCGCTCGTACTCCTAGAACTGTTGTCATCCTCAGGATCAGCCGACGACGCCCCGGAATCTGAAGGCGATACGCTTTGCCGTGTCACGTCTTCAGTGAAATGGGTCTTTTCCGAGTTTTTATAGTATTCTGCCAGCGCCGCAGCAGGTAGAAGGTTCGATGGTAGGAAAGATGGGTTAATTGAGGAATTGAAATTTGGCGGTGATTTGTTTGTATGTAACTGTTGTATATGTTGCTGTTGCTGCTCTTGAAGAAGACAATGTATCTTAAACCAGTTTGATCGCCTCCCGTATCTGGAGCCAGATTTTGACATACCAACTAGGAGGCATTTCCTGAGCCTGCAGGCTTTGCAAGCAGTCCTGTTCTTCTTGTTGATGACGCATTCTCCGTTGTTCTTGCATTCCGATATCGAGGAGAGGTTGTTGTACGTTCGCCCGAAGAACGACTGGAACAAATGAGAAAATTGCCATCTTAATAAACGTATATTAAAAAGGGCAGTCGGTTTACGCAAAAAGATTGCGATGGTTACGGGCTGAATTAATTTTGAGTAAAATATCGACAGACTTCCGTCGGCGTCGCATAAGAAATAGCAATTTATAAGCGATACAGTTAAAGAGAATCATCTTTGGGGCCTGTTCATTTCGACCGTCCCTCTCCGAAATTAAAAATTACATTTTTCAAAAAGTCATCATAAAGACCACTGCGAGGCGTATTAAAATCTGGGTCAACGCGAATAAGGCTGTATCTCACACTTAATATTGCTTAAGTAAGTCCGGTACGAATCCTGTTGCGTCTCTTGACATAAGTAATGGGGGTCTTTCGCGATTTTTTTAATAAATTTGGAAGTTACCCCGCTGAGAGCAGTCTTGGGTCTCTTCTTACCCAATTAAATTTGTACAAAAGCGTAAAATATGTGATTGTGCTACAGTTTCTCTCGATGGCATCGTGTGGTCGGTACACTTTCAGCAGTAAATAACGATCTGTCACATCATTTGGAATTATACAATATTTTTGTGTTGCAATTTGCGTTTATCGTTGGGTATGCCGCGGCCGCGACTTCTTTGCAACAGTTTGATTTAAATATCGCATTATATTAGTCTGTAATTAAAAGAGATGAGCTGAGAAGAGCTTCGATGCAAAGCGATCGTGTTGCATAATTTGTTTTGAGACCGAGTCTTGAAGATGTAGATGTCAATGACACTAGAGTCATTTTCGACACCCACAGATAATATTTATGGTTCGGTAGTCCGTTGCATACCTAGAAACGACCTCGGGGCACGTTTTGCGTATTTTAACTGGAACTTTGTGCCACTCGCTCGTCCAAAGAGTATGTAACTGTCCATTGTGGCGTTCGCGCGCGGACGATGCTGCGCCGTATTTGGCTCACAGAATTTCCGAGTAAACGGAGGTAATTTTGCGAACGCATGTTTGTGAGTCACTAGATTAGAAATTTGAGATAAGTCTGTTCTTCCTTATGGGCGCTGATAAAATATGTATGCCCTCTAATTGAGTGGAGTGGATTGATGTACGTGACCAGACTAGGTTTACGCGGCTCGGCGAAATAATAGCCTAGTTAATGGGCGCTTGCGTGCAATTTTTCAAGGATTTACAGTTTTTTTTTCTCGACAATGTTTTTGATCCTGACAATAGGGCCATTGTTACAATTCGAAATTTGTTGGGTATACTCGTAAATGTCATCGAATGAGGATTGATCACTGGAGCCCATAAATTTTATGCAAAACTGCAACGTAACATGTTCAAACTGTCATACTAAATCGACTAGTCGATCTGAAATATAATGCTTTTTTTAAAGATCAGTATTGCTTCAGCGATAATAATCCCAAATGTCATTTTAACGGATCAAAGGTTGCCCTCCATGATTTATGATGCGTAGCTTATCATAAACTATTAACATAAAATATACGCGGTTACGTCCTCCACCGACAAAGATCTTGATAATTCAAGAAATTTGCTTGTACTGCACTGTTCAGTATACATACATTATCTCGGATTGTCTTAAGAGTGTACTTTAAATGTAAGGTCCATTATTTAAGAGGTTAATATTTTTAAGGTGCACATTTTTGTTGTAATAATAACACGTCTGTTTTCTTTATCTTCAAATATTTGATTTATCAAAATTTACTTTCATAAATTAAATTTGAAAGAACTTAAGAAAAGTTTACTAGAAGAAATTCTACGCGGACCAGGCAACAGATGAGACTAGAACCCGCACCCTTCGCTGTCCGGGCGAATGCACTGACCATTATGCTACCGCGGCCCTGACGGCCGTGTCGAAATTTCTCTAGCCTTTAGGACCGCGGTAGCGTAATGGTCAGTGCATTCGCCCGAATAGCGAAGGGTTCGGGTTCGAGTCAGTTGTTTGTCTCTTGTTATGATATATTATGAATACTTTTTATTTTTTTGACTACAATTAGAGATAATTCATGGACGATTGGTTGCTCTTTGAATGACTAGCTCTAAATTCAGTATCACATGCAATGGTAAATAATGTTCGTCGTCAGGTGCCTTATCGACTTTTACTAATATTATCGAACGCGATTTATATTCGTTTAAGTCGATTAAGGAACTCTTCGACTTTAACGATTATAACTTCTCATTTTACGCGAAAGCATGGCTTAAGTAACTGCCTTCAATATACTTATTATAAATAATAACTTTAATGTTAACTTCATCACCAATCATTGGAAATGAGCCATTTAATATTTTGACACTGAAGTAACCCTTAATGCCGTAATGTAAGTTACTTAAGTTACAATTAACCTGTCACCTCTAGAGTTTATGTAGAAGTTATTTTTACTATAATTTACGACAGGGCAGCGATGTCAGAGGCTTCTGGGATTAACTTCGGCGGAGATGCGTCACTAACGCGCGTTCGTCTGAGATCGTTGAAGTTAAGCAACTTTCGCAGTGGTCGGTCATTGGATGGGTGAGCAAAAATCTTCTATCTGTATCTTCCGTGCTCCGGAAGGCAAGTTAAGCCGTTGGTCCCGGCATCTTTTAGCACTCGCCAATCCGCACTGGGTCCGCGTGGTCGGTCATGGCCCAATCTCCCTATTCCATCCACAGTGAAGGCTTGTGCCCCAGCAGTGGGGACATTAATAGGTGATGATGATGGAGTAGAATTTTGGTAAAAAACGTTGTTTGTGTAATGAGTGAAAAAAAATCTCCCAAATCAAAGATTTTGTACTGTACTGTGTTATTATTTGCTATTAAGGTCCACTTGTGCAAAAGTTCTTAAATAAAATTCAAACAAATCTTGTTTTAAATTAATTTAACCTTCATTGTCTTACATGTGGCAAAGGTAAAAAGGATTTTACTTGAATTTGGTTTATTTTCACAAGGCTTGCTCGGTTAGCGACAATATAATTGTAGCAAATTTGTTGGTATTTTTATTTATTTATCCAACAGAACCACAATATTTAAAGAGAAAAATATATAGATACCATCGAAAATCACGACAGTCGCATCATTTCCACCAGAATTTCCATAATCACTTCTATGCCATAATAACAATGAAGGACTGGCCACGGAATTTTATACGGCGCGTGGGCAGCGGAGCGAAATCTTTCCCACGGTAATATTCAACTTTTACCTCTACACTATGATATTTCGGATGAGATGCGTTAATATATTTATTATAAACATTTATATCTGTCGCAGAGCTGTAAATCATTCGTGTTATTGGACCTCGTGCGTAATCCCGCTGCTTATGATGAATAATAGTTGATCGAGTTTTAAGTCAGACGTTTTAAAGTAAATAGTAAAAGGAAATTGTCGTTATCAACAGCTGTTCTGATTATAAAATACTAGCAAACCAGTGAACCAAATGTTCACCAAAACCTGATTTAAAAAAAAAACAAAAAAAATGTATTTCATTAACTGAGAACTTCGGAGATTTTGTGTGGTTTCGTTTGAACTTCGTGATTTCTCGAAAACCGGAAGTGCTACGTTACTCAAATCCGGTTTGTTGTCTTATCAGACTATTCTTAACTTATAACTTAAACATTCTCTTTATCTATCTCTTACGGTTTGGCCGCTGAAACAGCACCACAGACGGACGGACGGACTTGTCTAATAGATAAGAGATAGTAAAAGGAAATTATCGTTATCAACAGCTTTCTGATTATAAAATATGCGTCATTTTTATACGTAAAGGAGATTGATGGCGAGCCATTTCTATGGAGCATTTTTTAGAGCTACTCTGCTTGTCCTTCAGGTGTCACTTCAACCATGAGTAACGCTTGCATTATGCGTGGGTTATGCCCATTTACACAATGGATTTTATTTTGGTAAATTCTACTTACCAGATCAGCATATTCTGATGATGATATTAATTAATATTAACACTTTTTTTTATATAGATAGGTCCGAAAAATGACTCCACCCCACCTGATGTTAAGTGAAGGTGAAGTCCAGACGTGATAGCTGATACAGCAGTTTTACCTGCCACACCAGCCATCCTCACCCTGCCGGCCTGCATGTTGCTTCTTCACGCCTCTTTTAAAGGATCCCAGGTTGTAAGAGCGAGGTAACACGTGAGTGGGCAGAGCATTCCATTTACGGATAGTTCTGATTATAAAATACTAGCAAACCAGTGAACCAAATGTTCACCAAAACCTGATTTAAAAAAAAATGTATTTAATGAATTGAGAACTTCGGAGATTTTGTGTGGTTTCGTTTGAAATTCGTGATTTCTCGAAAACCGGAAGTGCTACGTTACTCAAATCCGGTTTGTAGTCTTATCAGACTATTCTTAACTTATAACTTAAATATTCTCTTTATCTATCTCTTACGGTTTGGCCGCTGGAACAGCACCACAGACGGACGGACGGACTTGTCTAATAGATAAGAGATGCGTCATTTTTATACGTAAAGGAGATTGATGGTGAGCCATTTCTATGGAGCATTTTTTAGAGCTACTCTGCTTGTCTTTCAGGAGTCACTTCAACTATGAGTGACGCTTGCATTTTGCGTGAGTTATGCCCATTTACACAATGAATTTTATTTTGGTAAATTCTACTTACCAGATCAGCATATTCTGATGATGATATTAATTAATATTAACACTTTTTTTTATATAGATAGGTCCGACATATGACTCCACCCCACCTGATGTTAAGTGAAGGTGAAGTCCAGACGTGATAGCTGATACAGCAGTTCTACCTGCCACACCAGCCATCCTCACCCTGCCGGCCTGCATGTTGCTTATTCACGCCTCTTTTAAAGGATCCCAGGTTGTAAGAGCGAGGTAACACGCGAGTGGGCAGAGCATTCCATTTACGGATAGTTCTGACTATAAAATACTAGCAAACCAGTGAACCAAATGTTCACCAAAACCTGATTTAAAAAAAAATGTATTTAATGAATTGAGAACTTCGGAGATTTTGTGTGGTTTCGTTTGAAATTCGTGATTTCTCGAAAACC